GGGAGGGAAGGAAAGGAGGAAGGGAGAGAAACATTAGTGCAAGAATACCCAGCAATTAGACTAATATAGCCACTCAATTACTCAGAGTATTAGAGACATAGATTAATGAAAAAAATCTTTAGAGCATGCAAACTAGTGTCAACAACCACTTCCACTTTAAACACCATTTGGAAAGGAATAGGAAAGTTGGATGAGATAGTTTAAAGTGGCAAAAACATTTGCTACCTTTTTGGTTCTCTGGGAAGAAATCCACAGATGTCACAGCATTTCAGCAGAAGCCTTGGTCTTTGAAAATTATTGAGATTTACAAGTAGAATTTCTCTAGAGGGTGCTTCATGGTAAAATATGTTAGTTTAATTTACCTGATTCTTTGTGTGTATTTATATTAAACTATATTTAGGATGATTATAGTCAGTTCAGCTTTTCTACTCTACATTTGTGATTCCTGTTTTTCATGTGACTTGGCCTTCTAAGGTTTTATGCGAGTACTGATGAGTATTTTTTATTTGGGCATGATTGGGTAAGAGGTGATACACCACTATTTGGTGGGGAAAGGGAATGATTCTGACACTGATTCCAACTGGTTCACTTGGGAAGCTAGAAATTTTGACCTGCCAAAGGCAAAGCTTATAGGTGAATTCATACATGAAACAGAAGAGGGAAGACTAATTTATTCAAATTGAAATTTGGTTTGGCCATTAACAATGTTTGCGTTATTTGACATAGACTTTTATAATAGTGGGCAATAAATTTCAGCGGCAATGGAAAAAAAAAATGAATGAAATCAGTGAGGAGCTGTTTATGATCTGTTAACATAGGAAATGATTCCAAAGATTATAGTTTTGGCAAGGTTGGGGTGAAAATGACACTCTTAACCAGCACGTGTGGTGATAAAAGTTGATACAAAATTTTTGGAAAGAAGTTTAGCAATTTGTGACAATTTGTTCATATTTTTGGAAGTACTTCTGGAATTTTATTCTAAAATAGTAACTTAAAAGATAAAAAATGTACTTAAAAATGTTTATCAAGAGTTGTTTAAAATGTTAAAAATCAGAAGTACACTTAATGAACCATAGATGAATATTTAAGTAATCATGGAATTATGGAACATCAAATGCTTGGTGGAATGCAATTTGAAAAGGGTGCCAAACATTGTAACAACATGGAAAAATATTTTTGATGGGAGAGAAGAAAGCACACCAGTATGTATTGATATATTATGCCATGAGTATAGCTTGTAATAATTACTCGTGCATATGAATAAAGACTGGAAGAGAATAGGAAAAATGAAAAGGGTTGATACTTTGGGCTCATGTCAATATGGATGAAATCTAAATACCTTTAATTGCTATTATATGGTCAATAAGGGAAACTTTTAAACAGTCTTCTAATTTTATGCTTTTATGGATTTTTATGTTAGATATTGAATTAATTAGAAATTCAATCATTTAGTAGAAAGCATGTTTTTCCTAATGGATAGCTATTGTTCTAAAACCATTTATTGAACTGCCCATTCCTTCCCTGCTGATTTGAAATGCCTCCTAATATCACATAATTTCCATGGGTACATGTATCTGCCTCGGACTTTGCACTTGTCTGTCTCTAAGCTACTATTACTCTGTTTAAATGACCCTGATTTTATTGTAGGTTTTGCTTTGTGGTAGAGCAAGTTTTGACAGCCCAAACATTCTCTCTCAAAAGTATCATTTCGATTTTAGTGTATTTACTCCTCCAGATGAACTTTAGAATAAGCTTGTTGAGTTTCATTTGAAAAATGGATTTTGACTGTAGTACACTTGTTGATTAATTTGGGGAGATAATTTTGCCTAACATCCTTCTTATTGTTTCCAAAAATTTCAGTGGCATACTTGAGTGTTTTAAATTTTGGATATAGTGAGTTGATAGAAAGGTGATAACACATCTCTATTGCTTCTATATAGAAGCAGAGTGATTCTGATATTTATGACAACACATTTATTTAGGAAAGTTTCTAGTTTTCAATTGCCTAAAATGAAGAATGCAATTGAATCCAGATGGGGAACTGAAAGAGGTACTCTGGAATTCTATATACTGGAATTTTATCTTTGCCGTATATGAAATTAGTGGCCTTTTAAGAAGAGCAGCAGATTTTCAGTGGCCTCAGTGGTTAGAAAAAATCTCACTCTTACCCAAAAAACTGCCACCTGTGGTTGGCTATTTTAGGTGTACTTGCATATTCTTTCAGAAGGCCTTTCTTCCTGTTAATCTCCTAAGCAGCTTTATCTAAATCTGTCTCCTTTGAGCTTTATCTACCTTTTCTGAATGAAAATGTTCATGTTATTTCATCTTCATATTTTCTTTCCTTGTCTTCCTCTCCTGCCCATCCATTTCTGTCTAATTGGGTCTCTCTGTTGGTTTCTGTATTACCTCCTTCTTCTCCCATAGCATCTTTAACTGAGTCTTTCTGATGTTTTTCTGACTACCATATAAGAGACTCTTTTTATTGCTGAATCTCTTCTGAGTGTTAGGACTTCTGGACATCTGTCTTTAATGGCATGTCTTATTTCTCACATGGCTGTTGGTTATCCTTTTACTAATGTAAAGCATGGCATGGTTCTTGAAAGGCAGGCGTGATGAACTACAAGACTGTAATGTTGCGGGCTATATTGCATTGGAAAGGGTTGCAATTAAACACTTTCACAAATCGTAGTCCTTGTTCCCCCAACCAAATAAAATAGTAATATGATCGTTGTTTTGAATAGATGCAGATTAGATATCCTTGTGATCTGTGAAAATTTTTGGTCTGTTTATGTAATTTGTTTTTTATTTAAAAAAAGTCATGAACAAGTCAGGTCAGATTCTGCCTGTGGATAGTTAACAGCCTCTTTACCAACCAGGAACATGACTAAAGCAAGCTGTTCTTCCTCTTTTAGGAAGTGGAATTTCGTCTAAGTTTCCTCTCTCAGTCATGTTAGACATTTGTTATTGTTTTTTGCTTTTCAGATCTCTTTCCTGAACTTTTTTGGAAGCTATTGTATGGTACTTTTTTTTTTTTTTGGCATGTTGCTTTTCTATTGATTACGTTTCTGTGTGCTCACACACACGCATGCTTGTATGCAGTAAAAGGGCAATTCACAACTGCAAACCAGTGATTTTTTTTTTCAGAACTCCATGCCTTGTATTTATACCAGTTCATAATTTCAGATAACTCTGTGTGTGTGTGTGTGTGTGTGTGTGTGTGTGTGTGTGTGTGTGAGAGAGAGAGAGAGAGAGAGAGAGAGAGAGAGAGAGAGAGAGATAGGTTGCAAACCACTTTTGTTTATTGTAAAAAATTTCGATTAAATTGACGAATTTAATGTGGCGACTGGAAAATCCTGCACTGATTTTGTTTTTGATCCTGATTGGCTTAAATCTTAGTATCCTATGAAATGTCTAAGGCGTCTCTGTAGGCTTTTCTCTGTTCATTTTCTCCTCTATCACAGGGTAAGGATATCTTGGCGAGCAGGTTTGTTTTGTTGGGCAAGCACACAAAAGCCCAGATGCTTCTCCATGCAGGGCTGAGCTCTGGAGGCCCTCCAAAGTGGGCGACCCTTTCCACCTCCAGGTTTCCATTTCCCCGCCACTCCCACAGGCTGGGCAGAATGCGCTTTCTCTCTGGAGGCCCCACTTTGTATTGCCTTTTTGTGTTTTGGGTAGGGAATAGTACAAATCCCTCAAAGCCTCTGAGGTCTGGAGACGCCCTGGCAATCCCTAACATAGCTGCTATTCCCCTGGGTGCAACCTGGCTGCTGTAGCCCCTCCATAAAGCCTTAGAATGACGATATACCCCGAGAGCCCCAGCCTGCTGCCCCACTTCCTTTGACATTAGTCCTCAGAGGATGCCTCGGTGACCTGAGGTGGCAGCTCTTCTCCTTGGGACCAAGGCACTTTTCAGGCTTTGTACCAACCAGAAGCTCTTAAGAGAAAGTGTGAGGCTAGGCCAGATGAGAAAGGGCACTGGGAAATCCCTCAGAGAAGACAAATAGCAAATGGAAATGGCATAGCAAGGGAGAGGGAGTAGCCCTATTTATTTGGCAATGTTTGTAAATATTTAAGATTCTTACAACTGACTACAGTCTGGTACTGGGTAAGGCCAGAGCTAAGAATAATTATCTTGACCTTTTGTACTAATAACGGCATTTTAGGTACAGGATAAAAATTAACATAAACCATGGTGTTCAGCTGGTAGAAATTCAGAGTAAAAGACTGCTGGCTGTGGTGGCGTGTGCTTGTAGTCCCAGCTACCAGGAAGGCTGAAGTGGGAGGATTGCTTGAGCACAGGCGTTTGAAACCAGCCTAGGCAACATAGTGAGACCCTGTCTCTAAAAATAATTTCTGAAAAGCAAAAGGAAATGAAGTATTATATTACCACATCTAGTACATTTTAAAGAAATAAAAAACTCTTTCCTGTGCCCTGAATTTCTTTAACTTTAAAAACAGAACATACCAGGTGCAGTGGCTCATGCCTGTAATCTCAGCACTTTGAGAGGCCAAAGTGGGCAATTACCTGGGATTGGGAGTTCAAGACCAGCCTGGCTAATATGGAGAAACCCCCTGTCTACTAAAATACAAAATTAGCTGGGCGTGGTGGCCCATGCCTGTAATCCCAGCTACTTAGGAGGCTGAGGCAGGAAGATTGCTTGAACCCTGGAGACGGAGATTGTAGTAAGCCAAGATTGTGCCATTGCACTCTAGCCTGGACAGCAAGAGTGACACTCTGTCTCAAAAAAAAACAAAAACAAAAAACAAAAAAAAACCACCAAACAAACCAGCTCTGCTACCCATGCCTAAATATATCAGGAAGCATCTTCCGTAATGTTAGATGAGTTGTTGTTAGAAGGAAGAACTCATGCTGTTTGAACTCAACCACATGAAGTGAATATAACAAAATGACACTGTTATGGACCCGGGCTCTTTTTATTGTGCTTTCTTAGAGCCAGGACAAGGAAGTGTGACAATGCCCTGACTTATTCATTTTTCAGGGGCAGATGACAGTCTATGCGAAGTTTGACAAAAATGTGTATCTTCCTGAAGATGCTGAGTTTTACTTTACTTATGACGGATCTCATCAGAGACATGTTGTGATTGCAGAGCGCATCGAGGATAACGTTCTCCAGTCCAGCATCCCAGGTGAGGTGTCTTCTTTGTTGTGCAGCTGGGAAATCGGTCTGCAGATATCTTCCCTCCAGGGATGTAGGCCAGGAAGAGAACCAGGAAGAAAAAGAAAACAGTTCTGCAAGGTCAGGACAGTGTGTGTGTGTGTGTGTGTGTGTGTGTGTGTGTGTGTGTGTGTGTGTCTGTGTGTACGTATGTTAGGAAGAACACTCATGTCTGAGATTCCTCCAGCTGTCTGCTGCTTCATTAGGAGTCTTGACTTAGACCAGGCAGACCAATCCTATTGACTGCACCCAACTTTTATGGTTGGGTGTGCTTTGGATGCAGTCAAATAGAGGAAACACTCTCTATTGACTATTACCTCCTAATCACTTCCTGTAACCTTAGACCCATTGCTAGGGTTGGCTCTGGCAGAACTGACATTGACAAAGTTTATCTTCATTCTCTCTTCCTCATTCTTCTGTGGGCAGCCTGACAGCCATGGGTCTGCCTCACCTCTGCTTGCTCCCTTTGGTCACTGAGATTTTTCCTTGATGCCCTGTCCATCCAGAATCCTCCTTGGGGGATCTCTGGCTCCAGAACTTTCTCTCTCCATCATCAAAATGCTTACGTTTTGAACACTGTAATTTCCCCAGTTGTCTTCTTGATAGATGACAAAATTAATATATCCTGTTTATATATTGGGATAAGCTAATAGCCTTTCTCAATATACTTGTTTTATATTTTTATTGGTATGTGGGTTATGCATTTAAGAGTCATCAGGCTTTAACCTAATGGTGGAATTAGAATGTTATTACCTACAGAACAGGGGGGCTGTTTTAAAATTCTTTTTATTGATTGGTTGGTTTTTCTTAACTGTGGGTCTTTCAGGCCCTTTTAATTTGTATCATCTTTAATTTTTTTTAGAGTTCAGATTGATATCATTTTTAAAGGAATGTGTTCCTAAGTGCTTCTATAATATATCTGCCACATGTGGGACGAAGGTAGCCAGTGAACATGCAAACAACACAGACACAGAATTGTAGAGAAGTACAGATACCTCTCAGCTCTGCCTCATCTTGGTCACTTAATTAATCTGTTGTCCAATTTCTGAGACCATTGGCAAGTTTAAGCACTTCTCTCTTTAGCCCAGTAAAACTTCATCGTTAGAAGAAAAAAAACCAATCAAACTGAATTAAAACAATCAAACTGAATTACAGGCATGGCAGCTCATGCTTGTAATCCCAGCACAATGGGAGGCCGAGGCGGACAGATCACCTGAGGTCAGGAGTTCAAGACCAGCCTGGCCAACATGGGGAAACCCTGCCTCTATTAAAAATATAAAAATTAGCCAAGTATGGTACCCAGCACCTGTAGTCCCAGCTACTTGGGAGGCTGAGGCAGGAGAATTCCTTGGACCTGGGAGGCAGAAGTTTCAGTGAGCCAAGATCGTGTCAGGGCACTCCAGGCTGGGAGACAGAACAAAACTCCATCTCAAAACAAAAACAAAAACAAACCTAATTAATGGTACATAGTTACTTTGGCTGTTGGTTGCTTTCCCTCTGCCCTTTTGCTCTAGCAAATGTTTTCCCTGCCTTTACTTTCCCCCTCTTTTCTTGGTTTTCTCCTTCCTCAAGCCCTTATGGAGAAAGGATAAAAAATAACTAAAGTGCCCCTCCTATTTTTAGAACGTTTTATCTTTTTCTTTACTTGCATGTGGTGGTGACTCTCCTCCTTCCTTAGCAGGAAGAGAATATACTCTTTTGTTTATATTGTGGTCTACTTAAAAGTGAGGTTTCTTACCTTCATTTTAACACAGAATTTCTAGAGGCAGGTGACAGTTTCTATTTCTGAACCTTAAATTTCCCTGGTGACAGCATTACCAGGGCAACCTTTCAAAAATCTGTAACACAGATTTATTTAATATTTACTGGTTATGTTTAGTCTGGTGGGAGGTAGGTGCATTCTGTGCCTGTACCATGAGACCACTTACAAAGAGTCAATGACAAAGTGACAGTGGTTCTCTTTTAGTAAACTTGGGATGCTCTTGTTTTTTGGACCCCTAGCTGCACAGCCTCTGGGAAAAGTCTTTAGAGAATAAGGCACAGGAGGAATGACTAGTACCCATTAGCCGTTTGATTGGGGGCAACAGGGCGCTATGGACCAGCGGTAGCTGAATAACTTTTCTCAGTCCAGTCATGATTACCGTAATCACAGTGATTTGGTGCCACCAACTCCTGAAAATCCTGCCAAGGGCAGCATGTAAGAGCTTCCCAGCCCTGGCAAAATAAGAGTGGGGCAAAGAAGAGAAAGAGTGAAGGGAGGGCAAAACAGCAGGATTTGGTGACCACTCTCAGGAGAAATATTGAGAACACCTACAAGACAGAGACACTATTATCAGAAGACGGGGCAGTGAAGACCAACACCACACACACATAGATATGGATATGTATTTTCACTTTTGTTTTCTCTTCAGTAGTCTTCACGCACCTCAACTCACATTCAAAGGAGCACTGTGGAATTAGGGCAAACGTGTAATTGTGTGATGCTATCTTACAAACCTTTCACTTAAATAAATATGTAAAAATATATGACTCAAGACGAAACAGCAGAGTGGAAGAGAGCAAAGGACTTGTCATCTGACAAACACAAATTCAGAGGTTGGGGTGGAACAAAAGGTTAAAGGAATGCTGAATAGCAGTGTTTGGTAAAGACAGGAGAATAGATGCTCAAATGCTCAGAGCTCGTAAAGGTGCATTTTAAAATCAGGAGTTACTGAAAGAAGATGCAGTCGGTGTTAGTTTGGCCCACAGGCCTGGCAGTGTATAAGGGTAGCCGGCTGGCTTTCCTTTCTGCCTTGTTCTCCTGGAGTGTGTTATCTGCTTAAGCTCTGTGGTGGACCTAGCACATCGGACCCCTGTGAGAGCGTCTCCTACAGACTTGGGGTGAACTGTTCACTGTCTTATTGTCTAGGCCATGGGCTTCAGGAGACTGTGTCGGTGTCTGTGTGCCTCTGCTCAGAAGGCTACTCTCCGGTGACCATGGGCTCCGGCTCAGTGACCTACGTGGACAACATGGCTTGCAGGCTGGCTCGTCTGCTGGTGATGCAGACCGATCGCCTCACAGCCAGCAGCCACCAGACCCTGCTGACCCCATTTGCCTTGAAGGCGGAAGCGCTGCCTGCCTTGGATGAGGAGCTCGTGCTGGCTCTGACCCATCTGGAATTGCCTCTAGAGTGGACTCTGTTGGGAAGTTCTTCACTTGAAGGTGGGTCATCACCAGAAAACTCAGATATCTCCTCTGTGTGTCAAGTTCAGAATGTTCCTTACACTATACTGTCTGTTCCCCTGGGCAGGTTTTCCTGCCCACTTTGTACCTGAACTTTGCTCTGATATGGAGGGGTTCCCTGAGGTCCTGAGCCAGTCATCTCTGGACTGGTTTATGTGACTGTGTGCCAGGAGGTTTGGGGTAAATGAAGAGACTTGTCTCAAGCGGGGAAAGACTATTTCTTTATGGTATGCTCTTGAGCCAGCTGCTCTGGGCTATGGGTCCACTTCTCTTGACAAGTTTTCTTGCTGTGAGAAGGGGACATTGCTGCCCTGTTTCCAAATAGGTAGGGTCATTAGACAAGAAAGATAATGTCACCAACTCTGTGAAACACTTAGACGACATGTGATCACATGGGAAAAATAACCAATGCGTTGACATCTTTGAAAATGTCAGTGTCACTGAGAGCGTTTGTGTTACATTTGTACTAGTTTTTTAAGTACAAAAGACCAAATGGACTCTGAATACCAAGTATTTGGAATCTGTGTGTGAACAGGGCTATAGATGTTATATATAGGCCCATACAAGACATGAGGCTAAACTGATCAATAGATGCTTTTTAAAAATGAAAAAAAAAAATCTTTTTTTTGAGAGATAGGGTCTCACTGTGTTACTCAGGCTGATCTTGAATTTCTGACTTCAGTGACTCTTCTACCTCAGTCTCCCAAAGTGCTGGGATTACAGGCATGAGCCAACATGTCCAGCCAATAGATACTTTTTATTGGTGATTACAAGTTATATAATTTTATTGGAAATACACAGATGTTGTTTTGTAATTTATTGAATACAACGTATATTATTGCTGTTTTTTGTATTCTTCCTATGACCTTAGCTTTGTGATCAGATGATGCTATTTTTGAGAGTTTCTGCTTCCTGATAAATTCTAGTTATAAGTTTCAGTTTGGCTTAAATTTGATCATGGATGAGATTAAATCCACTACTCTAGGTAAAGGGGTGTGAGTTTTATAAACAGAATTTTAAGGTTATAAGTCACAATCAGAGAGGATCTCTGTTTCTTCCATTTAATCAGGGTCACACTAAAACTCTCCTAGGCACTTAATGATGTCTCTTGTTTTTAAGACCTTGGGTGAGGGAAATCACAAGTTTAGTCCAGCACTGAGCCATCCCTGAATCCTGTGTGCTGCACTCTGCTGTGTGGTTGCTGATTGATATGTATGGAGTGGGCTCCCTGAGGGTGTGGGTTGTGTTTGTTCTGCTCACTGTTATCTCCAAGGACTCAGCAAAGAGATATGAAATATAAGGGGAAGTTGCAATGATGATACTTGAAAGTCTTAGCATATACCATCGATTCATTCAACAAATTCTTTAAAAATTTTTTTTTTAGACAGGGTCATCTCTCTCTGTTCCCTAGGCTGGAGTGTGGTGGCACAATCATAGCTCACTGCAACCTCAAACTCTTGAGCTCATGTGATTCTCCTTCCTCAGCTTCCCGGGTATCTAAGATTACTGGTGTGTGTCACACGCCTGGCTAATTAAAAAAAAAAAATTTTTTTTTTTTTTTGAGACAGGATCTTGCTGCATTTCTCAGGCTAGTCTCAAACACCTGGCCTCTAGCGATCCTCCCACCACCTTGGCCTCCCCAGTAGCTGGGATTATAGGTGCCTGGCTCAACAAATACTTCTTGAACTCTTGCTATGTGCTAAGCCCTTATATACAGGAGAATTGCAGTAGTAATACTTGATCGTCTTGAGATATGCCCTTTCTATCATACATGTGTAAGTGATAGATGACATATAAATCTATATTAATATATAGTATACATAGATTTATGTATCTATGATATATATTGTCTATATCTAAATATTATATATATATAATGTTTTCTGGCTAAGAAACTTCATTTTCTTAAGCCTCTTGGATCTTTAAGAAGGTTCCTAACTGTAATCTTGGAAGGTGGTGTGTTGTTTTTTTTTTTTTTTTTTTTTTTTTTTGAATGGATCCATTTGACAAAGCCACAAAGGTTTCAGGATTTCTCACTTGGTGCACTGAAGCCCATGAGTAAGGACGAGCATCACAGCCTCATGCAGGGGCAGATGCAGGTCAGTCCCGGAGCTCCTCCCCAGGCTGACAAGTCTCTCAGCACAGTAGCTTGGTGCCTGCAGTGGATTAATTTGCACCTCTAAGAAATTACAAATTGTTGAAAGTCATGGAACCACATAACTGCCCACAAATAGCTTAAGCTAAAGGTCTCCAAAATGGAATTCATGTTACCCACATGCCATATTTATTTTTCATGCTGATATTTAGAAGTATGTTAATACTCTCTAGTATTTAATACGTGGATGGCAATAATACATGCATACAATTTTCCATTCTGGGCATGTCTGGTCAAATTTATTTTTGCTGGTAGAGGTACCTAAAAAAATAAGTTTGGAGAACACTGAGCTAAACTCCAAGTTGTCAAGAGTCATCTTATTGCCATTTCCCTTGTTATTTGGAAATACATTCTTGTTTACCAAGCTTTTTAGCTGTTGTGGCCTTTGATTTATCCATATCTTTATAATGGATAGATTTATGTCACCTGGAGGTCCTTTCTGACCCCTCTGCCAGTATTTATATATGATATATATATTTTCATGAGACAAAAACTTGAGCGGTTTTTTTTTCATGGTAAAACACTTTTCTATTCTAGTGTCCTAGTTGTTAAGAAAGACTGTGTGTTGTGGAGCCAGGTTCAAATCCTGACCTTATTACCTCCTGGCTATGAGACCTGGGCAAGTTATTTTAGTTCTGGTGCTGCACCTTTTCAATTCCTAAAGTAAGGCATAGTAGCTGCTTTCTTGCCTGGTTGTGATGATTAAATTAGATAATGTATGGTAAGACCTCTGGAACAGTATCTGAACATATTAAGTTCTCAGTAAAAGGGGATGTTGGTATGTGCATGTAAATACATTTTCATATATAGAGTGTGTTATATGCACTTGTATGTGCATAGATAGAAAGCAAATACAATTGGTTTGGGCAAATGAAGCTAAAGGCAAAGTATAAAATCCTGGCATTGTAAACAATTCCTTGACAATTTCTAGGAATGTTTCTAGACTTTCTCTAAAGGCAGTTTATGGTATTTGAGGTAACATTGTCTGCAGCCTGGACTTGTAGTGCAGCTTCTCTACAACCTCAGTGGCAAGCTACAGGGTCCATGCTCATGTTTGAAGCTAAATTTTACTCTCAGGTTCATGACCATCTTATGAGATCTGATTCAGCCTACCGTGTGTTTAAATCTTTGTATCTGCCTGTTCACACTTCAATTCTGTTATGTAGATATGTAAGGGCTCATATATGGATAATGGCTCATTTTAGATTGGTAGGTTTTAACAGATGTATTTATCAGGACATTTCTGTTGAAATTATTCCAGTTTAAAAAAAACAAATTGGGCATTTAGATGAATAGATTGAAATATAAATCCTTCTGTGTCAGTTTTAATTTTGTACTTTAGAAATTGTATTAGATACTAGATAGAAAGGAAACATGGAATTTTTATTGTATTTACTAAACCAAGTACTTGGACACAGATTAATCATTTTATGGTTGGGAATAAACACGAGCATTTGGTGAAGGACTAACATTGATGCCCTAGATGAGCTGGGTTATATTAGGTTTTTACAATGCACATGTACACTCCATGGCTGTATTTTGGCTCATTGCCTATTCATAATTATTTGGTGGGGTTCTGCTAATCTTGAACTGTTTTGGATTTCTTTTTCATTGTACTTTTGATTTAATACCGTTTTAATCTAATCAGTTTAAAAACTCTTATGTGCTTATACATCTTTTCTAGTATACATATTTTATTTGTATTGCTTGTCTTGAGGTAGATAAATTATTATAATGAAGTGAGAAATAAACTGTGACATAGGTCCCACTAGGAGTTATAATGTATTAGTGGCAGTGGCATCACAGGTGGAAAACAATTTCTTTCCTAGTAATTATTTCTTCCAGTACTTACCAAAAATTATTTTAATGCTCATTGTTCACACTTATTAAAGATTCTTTGTGTTTATTTATTTATTATTTCTCCAAATATAAATAGATTTTAATAAATGAGTATCCATTGATTTCTGTAATGACTTTGTCTTGTAAGAGTGATCAAAACCTTACTGTGACACATTACTGTATTTCTTGTATTTTATAATAAACTTCTCATTTTTTCCCCCTTGTCAATCATTGAGAGTTATCAGGAAGGACTGGGAACCTGGAAAAAGGCCAGAGTCTGAGTGGAGCATGGATCTCATAATGAAAAGCAGAGTCTTCTTTCAGCCCTGTGTCTTACCCATCATTAGTCACAATGCAACTTCATTATGTGTTCGAGGAAAGGAAATATCCCAGATTTTATTTAATTTTAGACCATAAATAAAATTGGATTTCCAGCTCATAAAAATTAAGCCCATTCCTTTTATGAAATAGCATTCATAATAGAGGCTTGTGCAGGGTCTCAGAAGCCCAAATTTGTAGTAAAGCGTTGAATAGTAATATAATTATCCAACAGAATCTCACAATTTATTTTTTTTTTGTTCTGGGTTTTTTTGCTTGTTTGCTTTTTGGGCAGAAATCTTTTCTCAGAGATTTGTATAATTTTGACAGTTAGGTTAACCGGCATAACATATTCTAATGTTTTATGTGCTGATGCTCAGATGACTTTGGAGTTGAAAGCCCTGCACCTTCCTGCTCCATCAAACTACGTCCCTTCACAAGTTCCCAGTAGCTTGACATGGCTGGCAGGCACCAAGCTTGCCATCACCAGTGAGGGGCTGCCATGTGGGTAAAAAACCCAAGGGTACTATAAATGGCATCTCCAAAGACAGATGGCATCGTTCCTGTGAACATAGTCACTTTTCTCCTAACCTATGGAGTAGGTTGAGCTTGTCCTGGTTAGGTTTTCTAATTTAAGAGAAAAATAAAGCCCACTTCCTTTAAAAAA